AAAAAAAAAAAAAAAAAAAAAAAAAAAAATACACCTCTTAAACTGGGCATGGTGGCACACACCTATAATCCCAGCACTTGGGAGGCTGAGGCAGTAGGATCACAACCAGTTCTGGCGAGTCGAGACCAGCCTGTCCTACATAGTGAGACCTTGTCTAACAAAACAAACCAAAAAAAAAAAAAAGTTATACCTCTTTGGGTTGGGGATATGCTCAGAGGTAGACTGTTGTCAGTCACTGCACTGGACCCCCAACACTAAGAAAACAGCAGCCCAGTTACACCTCCTCTTCCTTTATCATTCCAGGTCACCTGAAACTGAACTGTGTACGGGACTGGGAGTGCAGCTTAACAGTATATGCAGGGCCCTGGGATCCAACCCCAGCATCAAAATCTGAAACACAACACTGACGATCATAGTCAGAAAAATACATGTACGTGTTGTGTGTGTGTGGTTTAGTTTTCTTAGAGGGTTATTTTTAAAGGCAGGGTCTTGCTTTTGAGATAGGACAAGGCAGGCCTTGAACTCACTATGTAGCCCAGGCTGGCCTCTAACTTGCTGTGATCCTCCTGCCTCAACCCCGAGTGCTGAGATCACAGGCGTGTGCCACCACTCGTGGCATAAGTTTGTATAGTTTTCCAAAAAGAAGCATAATAACCGTTGGTGCAGAGAATCAAGCAGTAGCATATGTTGACTGATTTCATTCAAGTCAACACCTTTTATGAGTTTATATTACGTCCAAAGTCCTGAGCTAGATCCATAGAGACTACAAAGAATGATGATCAACATGGTTCTTTCCCTCAAAAAGATTATAAGTCTAGACTGGTAGCACCATAATGTGATTTAATTGAAAATCATTAAAACTAGATCGTATACTGTCTGGGATGGTATTATTTACCCTATAGGGTTTCAAGATTTATACAAACACAAAACTGCCCATACTGTAAATCGTAAGCTCCATATTAATTTTTTAAAAGGTAAGGGGCCAGGGATTTAGCTCAGTGGTTCCACTGTCTGCCTCACAAGTGCAAAGACCTGAGTTCAATCCCCAATACCCCACCCCCCAAAAACGTATACAATGTGGGCTGAGGATTTAGCTCAGTGGCACTGCACCTGCCTCACAAGTGCAAGGTTCTGAGTTCGATTCCTAGTACCAAAAAAAAATTATATAATACAACAGGAAAACGTACGGTATGCTTAGAGATGAACTTTTTTTTTTCTTTCCCTGGTACAGGGGATCAAACTCAGGTCCTCAGATGAACTTTTATAATCTATATTAAAAAACAGAAGGGCCAGGCGTGGTGGCGCACGCCTATAATCCCAGCACTCGGGAGGCTGAGGCAGGAGGATCACTGTGAGTTTGAGACCATCATGGGCTACATAGTGAGTTCCAGGTCAGTCTCAACTACATAGTGAGACTCTGTCTCAAAAACCAAAATAAAAAAATAAAATAAAAAAGAGAAGGTAGGAGGGCTGGAGATTTAGCTCAGTGGTTCCACCACCTGCCTCACAAGCTCAAGGTCCTGAGTTCAATCCTGGTACCAAAAAGAGTAGCGAGGCCTGCACTGTATAGCTCCCACAGTCCTACTCCATGTTTTTGGAGGAGGCAGTGAGACACAGCTAAGGTAGGGCTCCTGGGAGGATGCTTACTCAGCCCCAGTCTGAAGACCACAGGAGTTTGCTGAGCTGTGAAGGCCACGGTGTTGAGAGGTGCGAAGCTGAACGGGTAGAGCAGCTGGTGTTGGTGGGGAACTGTGACTGGGTGAGGAGGTAAACATCAGTGGGTGCTGATTAGTGAGGCAGGAACCCGAACAATAAAACATAGCTTCACCGTGGGCCCAGCTATCGGGGAAGCAGAGGCGGGAGGGTCACCTGAGCTCACAAGTGTGAGACCAGCCTGGCAGACCTAGGGAGACCCACCTCCAGATATAAATACAAATACAAATGTAAATATACTGAATCATTCGCTTTCGTGGGACAAAGCAACAAAAAATCAGACATTTATCGAACCCCTGTGACCATTATAGTCAGGAACAGGTGTCTGCAACCTAGAATGCACCCCCATCATACACTTAGTTTTATCGTGTGATTTCTGGCTCTATCCCAGTATGCAGGTTGAGGGAGGAGGACAGTAAGTTCAAGGCCAGCCTCAGCAACTGAGTAAGAACCTACCACACAGAAAAAAAGGTCTGCGCATGAAACTCAGTGCTTCCTGCTTCCACTCCCTAGTGCCAAAAAGGGGAGGAGGAGGTAGAAGAGAGGGCCAGGAAATCTGAGGAAGAAGCAGGACTGACTCCAAAAGGGCAGAGCATGTACAGAAATTGTGAGAAGCAAAACTAGGGTAGGGCACGGAACAAGTTAAACGACTGCTACATGGGTGGAGGTGTAACTGAATAGTATAGCAGCTGCCCAGCATACTTGAGGCTCTTAGATCAAAATCCAGCACTGCAAACAACAACAACAACAAAGAGAAGTGCTA